AATGCAAATTTAGACAACATGGGCAAATCAGAGTTTATGTGCAGAGCTGTAGACAGAACCTTGAGGGTCTTTCTTTCACTTGTGTTTGGAAAGGTAAAGTACAGACAGAAACCAAAATAGCACAGAAGGATTTGTAGCAAATAAGCCACCTCTCCCCTCTCCCCAGCCTTCCCTCAGCGCCCCTCCTGACGAGTGGCCATTGTTTTGTTTCTTTTGTGTCCTTCCAGAAGGGTGCCCAACATGACCCAGCACCATAATCAATGCATTTCCCTTGCTCCCCCTTTTGGTTGGTTTGGTTTGGGGTTTTTTTGTTTGTTTGTTTGTTTGTTTGTTTGATGGTACTAGGGGTTTGAACTCAGCATTGGGTTGGTTGGTTGGGTGGTTTTGAAACTGGCATCTTGGGCTGGCAGAGTGACTCAAGCAAGTTCAAAATCCAGTGCTGCACCCCGCCAAAAAAAAAGAGAAAGAAAAGAAACAGCATCTTGCTATGTGGCCCAGGCTGGCATCAAACTCTAAATCTTCCTGCCTCAGCCTGTCAAGTGGTGGGATTTACAGGTGTGTGCCACCATGCCCAACTCCTTGCTGTCCTTTTATTTATCAGCACAGTCATCCCCCAGATGTGCACTTCTGCCCTCCCTGCTTGCTGTTTCTCTTCACGTCTCTGGGAATGGGCCCGTGGTAGGGCTCAGAAAGATACCCCATTTACACCCCACCTCCAGGTTATTAGGTTTGTTCGGCTCCGGAGACCAGAGATCTGAAGAAAAAGGAAAATACCAGAAATATAGAAGTCCAGTGTAGGGAGGGGAGATTGACGCTGGGGATAAACACAGGGCCTCACATACTAGGTAAGCGCTGTACCCCTGAGCCACAGCCACACGCCAGCCCCATTCTATAGAATTTGCAAGTTAGAAAATACCTCAGAACCGGGCACCCGAGGCCCATGCCTGTAATCCTGCCGACTTGGGAGACTAAGATCAGGAGGATCACAGTTCAAGACCAGCCCAGGAAAATAGCTCAAGAGATACTGTCACCAAAATAACCAAAGTAAAATGGACTAGAGGTGTGGCTCAAGCAGTAGAGCACCTGCTTTGCAAGTGCAAAGCTCTGAGTTCAAACCCCAGTCCCACCAAGAAAAAAAAAGGAACTATTTCAGGTCTGGGAAAGGTAGCTCAGTGTTACAGCATGTGCCTACCCTATAGGAGGCCCAGGGTTACATCCCCAGCACCAAAAAGAAAGAAAATACATTAGAGATTCTTCGAGGAAAAAAAAAAGACTAAACTGATCAGTATGACTCTCCAAGCTAAATTTTGCTGTGCTGTTTCCCTGTAGACATGTTCACAGCAGGCCATTAATAGTGTCAGGCCACGGAGGCTGCAGCAAATAGGACAGGTGCAGGCCAAAGGCCAGGGAGAGGATTCCAGCACAATGGCTACCCATGAGCCTCGCCCTGAAGAGTTAGGCATGTCCCCTAAGAGCACATAGGGCCTTTTTAAAAGTATCTGTACTTCTTCAGATTTATAAAAAGTCATTCAGACTTTTAAGGGGGGTGGGTAGGCAAGCAGCAAGGAAGGTCAGTTACATATGGCACACAGATTTTGAGTGCCTACCATGTGACAGGCCCTGTGCCCAACACTGGACTTAAAGTGAAGACTACAGACAATGTGGACAACTCACAATACTCCATGCAGATCTCATAGGAACAGTGCAGGAAAGAAGTAGTTCAGGACTGTGTGACAGACTGGACTGGAAGGGAGCACCAGATTGATGGTCAGGGGAGGCCTCGGAGGAGCCAACAGCTAAGCTGGGAGAATGAGAAGCTGCCAACTACAGGCAATGCCCCAGAAGGGTGCTCCAGGCAGACACACAGCCTGTGCAGAGGCCCTGAGGTAGGAATGTGCTTGTCTTTAAGGAATCATAGGAGGCGAGAATGGCAGGAACACAGGCAGAGAGGGGACAAGCAACTTTGTGGACTGTGGGGAGGAATGTTTTAGAAAGTGACCCCCACACATCCACCCTTAAGAGAGTTTGGCCAACTCCAGTGTGCCAAGCTAAGCCATAGATGGGTTCTGTTTTCGAAAAATGGTTTTGCACTTCACGCAGCCTCCTCTTTTTTCACATGGTGTGTCTGGGGGGCCTCCTCCCGGTCTGTGTGAATTGGCTCCACTTCTCCTGAGGCTGTTGTAACTGTCTTACCACATGTGGCCTCTCCTTCCCCTATGGGCAGCCCCTGTGTTGCCCTGTCCTTACAGGAAGCGTCCTGTACACAAGGCACCATGGCTTCATGTAGGCCTTTCTGAGGGAGCCATTTCCAGAAGGAGAGCACGAGGACCAAGAGAGTGGTTTAAAGTACTCAGTGAGCTTTTTTACGCCCTTCTGGGAGGTGTGCCGTGAACCATGCTCCTCTCTGGCCAGGGACATGGTGAGGCCAGGCCTGCTCCCTCACCAGGCTGTGGGCCCTGCTCAGATTCTGGGAAATGCCAAAATCAAAGGTGGGGGGAGGGGAGGACCTTTCCAGCTTCCTCAGAGAGGTGTGTGCTCTTTGGGGGGAGGGGGTTATCTCTGTTTCTGTCTCTCTCTACTTCGCTCCTCCTGATTTTATAAGCTTTTAATTTGCTCAGAGAATATACTTCCCTGACAGGGACAGAGCCAGCCTGCCCTAGGCCTGCAGTTCTGACATGGGGAGGAATAGGACCTGACAAGAAACAACCTGCCGCCATTCTGCCTTCCTTTGTTAAAATCCCAAGGCGGGCAGCTGGGAAAAAAGAAAGAAAATGCAGACTTCAAAACCCATGGGAGCCCAGGACATCTTTTTTCTTCTCTGGGCTCAAAGACCTCTTTCTTTCTTGCCTTACAAAATGAAGACCAGGTGCTAGCCTTTTTAAAACTAGTTATTATCCTTATTGGCAGAACACATGATTATGGTAAGATAAATTCAGCTTGGAAGTATATCAGATGAAAAGTAAGTCTTATTCTTCCTCCTCCTAATATGACTCCTTGACTTCCTAGAAGTAATCATTATTTTTCATTTCTTCTAGAAGTCTTTTTTCTGCATACAGAGCTTTTATTTATTTATTTATTTATTTTTGCAGTACTGGGATTTGAACTCAGGGTCTCATACTTGCTAGACAGGTGCTCTGTGGCTTAAGCCACTGCACCAGCCCTGGAGCATGTCTTTAATCAGCTGTGATCCTGTTCCACAGGCTGTACATAGCTTTTCCACAGTTCTCCACTGTTCCATCTCTGGCTTAACATGGCAGTCAAAGCCTGGCCTGGTGCCTGCCCATAATCCCAGCTCTTGGGAGGCCAGCGGCAGAAAGATGTCAAGTTCCTGGCCAGCCTGAGCCACAGAGCAATGCCTCCAAAAAATACAACAAACAATGAAAATACACATGGCAGTGAGACGTGCAGTGGTTCCCTACAGCCCAGAGGCCTTGGTGTGACCATTGACTCCTCCGTCCCCAGGCTGTGACCTTGGACAAGTGGCTTATCTCTGTGCCTTAACCACCTCATCCCTGAAACGGGATACAAATCGTACTGCGCGCACACGGCTGTGGTGTTCATATGCATCTGGGGGAGCCCCGGCCTTGCTCTAGTCCCGCTTCCCTTCTGTTGGGTGGGTCGACAGGAAGCAAAGACAGGCAGGTCACAGCAGTTACTGTGGGAAAAAATGAATGGCTTCAAAGCAGGACCAGTGTGACATAGTTACTGTGACCTTTGTGCCTCAGTGTCCCATCTACATGATGGGGCTGATGGCTTTAACAAGGTGGCAGGACCTCAAGTCAGGGCAGTGGCTTTTACCAAGGAAGTGGGACCTGAGCCCAAAGACCAGGCTAGAAGAGGAGGCAGGGAAGTCAGCCTGGCCCTGGAGACTCCGCATGGGGGTAGGTGGCCAGCCAGGAGCAGGGGCCTCTCGTTCTGAGCATCTGCTCCATGTCAGGCGCAGCCAGGCACTTGGTGGCAGATTCCCAAGACAGTACTGTGAGGTACTTGTAGTGTGCTTGACCCAGCCAAGCACACCAGGGTCAGATAGGCAGTGGGACTTGTCCCAGATTCCACAGCAGGAGCAAGCTTCAGACTTCGGTGAACTTCAGACTCATGTGGCTCAGTGGCCGTGAGTGTTCTGGAAGGTGCTGTGAGTCAGCGCTTGGGCATGCTAAAGGAAGGGTGGGGATCGGAGTGGCCCAGCTCCCAGGCCAGGCTCTGTTACAGGAGGCCCTGCAGAAAAACAAGCTTGTAGCCATGGGGCACTAGGCTCCTGCTTATGGGTCATACACCTCATCTCTGGAGTCTCCAGGAGCCCTGTGGTGTGCGGGCTCTGTACTCTGCGGACCATCAGGAACCAAGGCCAGGAGATCTGTGACTGTCCCAGAACACCCAGGCCAAAGGTCTGCTGCCTCTGATCCAGCCTTGCCCAGTGGTACTCACTCTGTGAGACCCCATTCTCCTGTGACTGGACCACCCTTGCCCTCACCTCTACAAAGGCCCTCTTCCTGCTCATCACCCACTGATCCTCCTGACATGCAAATCCTCCTTCTCTCCCTCCTTCCTCCCTTCTTCATCCTCTTCCTCTTTGTCTCTTCTTCCCTCCACTTTGTCCCTTCCTCCCTCCCTTCTCCCTACTCTGCCTCCAGATGTCACCCCCTCAGAAGAGCCCACCCCCAGTACCCCCAGTACCCATCTCTGTACTTCCTTTATTTTCTTCAGAACATTTCTCTCTCACACATGGGCCCCTCTGCTCATTTGCTCAGCATTGATCCCCTCCTTGATGTGGGCTCCATATCACTGCTGTAGCCCAGCACCTGAAACAGGCCGGGCCAGAGCAGATTCCCAGGAAGCATTGGTGGATAAGTGAGTGGCCAGAGCAAACCAAGGCACTCTGCTTTCACCGTAGCCGGGTGAAATAGAGGAGACACAGTCATTTCCCGGGGCAGCAGCCTTGTTCGAGTCCAGACAGCATTGAGAAACACTCAGGGCCCCTGACCCCAGCACTCTCATTCCAGGCAGGTGGACACCAACACGAAAAACGTCTTTGGGCAGCCACGGTTGAGGGCATCCCTGCGAGACCTCCGGTCCCCACGGAAGAACTACAAGTCCACCATCGAGGATGACCTGAAGAAACTCATCATCATGGACAATCTGGGACCGGAGCAAGAGAGGGACACAGGGGTGCGTGGCTGGTGACCCAGGGCAGGGCGGGGAGAAGAGCAGTGTTTCCAGCAGTTAACCCGGTCTCTTCTGGCCTGTCCACAGCCTGTGGTATTTGCTGACCCTGTTGGGGTGTGTAAGTGAGGGCACCATATTAGTGAGGAGCAGAATGTGAGTGAAGCTAGCCCAGGTCTCATTCTACCCGGGGCCCAAGAGAGAAACAGCCCCCACCCACCTGCCTGAGGGGTCCCTGAGGTTACCTCCACCATCTCTGCCTCCTGTCTCCTCTTGTCCCCGCCTGCCCTGCCTGATTGGCCTCACTGTCAGTCAGATGCTCTGCATGGAGACCAAAACAGCCCCAAGCCAGGCATGGTGACACATCTATAACTCTGGCACTCTGGAAGCTGAGGCAGGAGGATCACAAATTCCAGGCCAACCTGGGCTACATAGCAAGACCTGTCTTAAAAAAAAAAAAAAAAGAGCGGCCCCAGGTCTCCCTTGGGGTTTTGTTCCGTCAGTCCCTGGCCCTGGAGGCAGAGGGCACTTCAGTATTATTGCTTCCTCAGAAGCCCCAGCCTGGCTCTCATAGTTCCAGTGTAGCTTGTGCTGCCTTCCCTAGCCTGCTAGGCCTTGACCCGTGACACTCCCTGGAGCTAGAATCCGTGGGCCACCAGTCAGAGAAGGGGCTCCCAGGGAAAACTGGGTGCTTGATCAGAAGAGGGCAGAAATGGACTGGTAAGAATTAACCAGGAAGAATCCCCTGAGGACAGTAACCACGGGCCCTGCCATGACACCTCCTGTCCCACCCCTGTCTTGGCAGCAGTCCCCCCAGAAGAGCCTGCAGCGGACACTGTCAGACGAGAGCCTGTGCAGTGGACGCCGAGAGCCCAGTTTTGCCAGCCCTGCCAGCCTAGAGCCAGGCCTGCCCAGCGACGTCCTCTTTACCAGCACCTGCTCCTTCCCCTCCAGCACACTGCCTGCCCGCCGCCAGCACCAGCACGCCCACCCGCACAGTGGAGGGGGCCCCAGCACCATCCCAGAGAAGAAACGTGAGCGTGGGCAGCCAGGGTTGGGAGGTAGGGGCAGCCACTTGTGGGGTCACCTGCAGTCATGTGTGTCAGAGGAATCTAGGGAGGGCACTAGGGTGCACACAAGCTTCAGGGTAGCCCGATGGTTGGGCCCTGGGTATCACCCAAGGAGCAGAGCCCTGCTGGCTCCTCCAGGGTCATCTGAGAGTCACGAACACCCAAGGACTGGGATCATCTGAGCCCAAAAAGAGGAAGTCAGTCCTTAGTGCAAGCCCTGGGGACAGGCATTTGTATTAGCTGCCCCCCAGCTCCTGTCCCATTCCCCCACCCTGCCCTGAAGCAGCTTGCTTCAGACATGTTTACTGGTCTACTTCCCCCCAGATTTGCCACACTTGAGGAAGTACAGGGGTGTGATTCATCCACCCCTTTATTCCTTTAGCAAATATTATTACACATGCCCTGTGAGCAGGGTGTTGGCACTCCACCCCACCCCCCAAAAAGCCACGAGGAGCTGTCATTGCCCTCTGTCCACATCCCACAGGCTCTAAAACCAGAAGAAAGTGGAAATGATGTCCACCCCACTCTCACCAGACAGCAAAACCCAGCCTGAATGGATGGGAGGGTGTTCAGTCCTCACACAGCCCACCTTGTGTGAGTGGCTAGTGGCTTTGTTGCAGAGTGCTGGCCTTTGGGAGGGTTAAATACAATGTGCAGCAGCTACACGGCTTGCTCTCTCAACTCCACATGCGAGCTGCAGGCGTGGCTCAAGGCACGGAGCACCTGCCTAGCAAGCTGAGACGAGTTCAAACCACAGTACCTCCCCAAAAAGAGAAACTTCCAGACACATCTTGAATTCAGATGTGTTTACCCCAAGGGCCTCGCCTAAGGGCTCTTGTCCCCTTAGTGCCTGCATGGAGTCCTCTATCTTGTGTTCCATGGGAACTGAGAAGAAGGAGATGCTGGGCTCTTTTGGTGTGTCCTTCTACCCCCACTTAAAAATCGTCCCATAGTGTCCCACTTCCCTAGTGTCTAGTCACAGGACCACTCCTCGGCATGTCTACGTCAGGAACCCCTACTCTTCCATCCTCAGGGCATTCCATATAGCCGTTCCTCTGTGCTCTTCCCTAGCCCTCTTCTGAGCGCCTCAGGCTCATGCTGCAGGGCCTGATACAGTTTCTGCTCTTAATTGGAGGTCTCCCCCAACCCTGGGCTGGTCACCTCAGCCACCTTACATCCAGAGCATGCTAGGGGCTAGCGCTCCAGCAAGACTTCCTCACACTCCCTGAGCCCCACCATGTGTCTCCTGCCTTTGCCTCTAAGTTTTGCTGCCCTGCCTGGGCCTGAGAGGGGCCAAGGAAGGTGGGTGTGTGCACAAGACAAGTTTAAGTTCCTCCTATTGGCTGTGCCACATGTCAGTCTTGGCCCAGACCCTCTATGGAAGCCCTCCATTCCTCCAGGCTTCAGGCCCCTCTGCCCCTGTGTTCCCCCCATCCTGTCCATGCCTGGTCACTACCCCCGTTCACTTTGGGCTTTCTGAGTGAGAATGGTTCTGTCCTTGCCCTGAACTGGGCATGCCCTAAGGACAAGCTGGGGTGGTATCTGTAGCTCAGGGCCCTCTGCCTCACAGAGCACACCACCTTCCTGCCCACCTGTCCTCCACCCCACTGTACCGGAGACAGTCCCATCTGGCCTCAGCACAGCCAGGCACCAATTGCCTGCTCCCAAGCTCTTACCAAATCACATCCTGGCTAAAGAGATGCAGAGAGCCCAGGGCTGGGTTTCACTAGCAAAGGGCACTCCAGGCCAGAGAGCCTGTCCCCCCACCCAATGCCACTGAACACTGCCCAGCAATGATGGTGTTCATAAACAGGACCACCTAGACCCTCTAACCCCAGAAACTGGATGGGATTGGGCTTCAAGAGGGGTCAGCCCCCGCCTACCACATCAGATCCCGCAGCTCAGGGACGTGTGCAAGCTCAGGTAGGCAGCTTCTCACTCCTCGATTTCCCTCCATACGTGGAGGCCTTTAGAACACCACCTCCAGCCCATGGACGCAGTGGGTGAACCCACGGTGCACCCAGCACAGGGCACGCTGGGCACACACAGCCACCCGCTTTACTCTCAGACTTGTCACTCTGCGTCTCACTGTCCTCTGTCCCCTCCTCTTGGTGGCTGCGAGGCAGGAGTGGCTAGCCCAGGACTCTCAAAGTCACAGCACCGCACGACTTCAGCAGCCTCCGCTCGGCCCTGTGTGTTTCACCTGTACCCACCAGGCCTGCCCACAGTGACATGCCACATGTAAACACTGACAGCCCAGGTTCAAGTCTACACCCAGCACTCTGTCTTCACTCCCAGACCCCTGGGTTCAACTCCCCCACCATCCCAGCTTTCCCGTCAGGACCAGTTCCTCCTGCCGGACCTGGGCCCCATATCCTGATGACATCTGGATCTTACACACCCCTCCAGGCTTCATGGGCAGCATAGATCTAGAATCAGTCTGCACACTCCTCCCCCACAGCCCACCCAGTCCCACCCACCATCTCCCTGCTCCACGGGAAGGACCAAGTCCTCATGGTGGCCCACAAGGCCCTGCAGGATCTGGCCTGTCACCTCCCTAACTTCACCTCCCACTGCTTACTCCCTCCATCACCCTTTTTGAGCCACATAGGCATCCTCAGTACTTCTTACACCTCAGGGTTTCAAGCCAGGCATGGTGGTGCATGCCTGTAATCCCTGTACTCAGGAAGCTGAGGCAGAAGGATTTTGAGCTCCAGGCCAGCCTGGGCTACATAGCAAAATCCTATCTCTGAGACAAAAGGGAAAAAATCCTCAGGAATTTCATGCTGGCTGTTGCATCTACCTGGAATGCTCTCCCCTCAGGTCTCCCCTGACTGCCCCCTGCCCTACTTGAGACCTTTACTCAAAGGTTCCCTCAGTGAGGCTTCCCCAGCACCTTGTTGAAAGTTACACCTGTACCCCTGCAGGAAGTCTCTGGCTCCCATCAGCTTCCACCAACAGTCTGTTAATATGTTTGTCCCTCCCACATTGTCATGCTCAGCCCCTCCCATCTCGTTCTCCCCACTAGCCACCATCTCCACCTCGGAGCTGTCACTGGCCGACGGACGGGAGCGGCCCCTGCGGTGCCTCGACCCCGGGATGATACCACTGCCTGACACAGCTGCTGGCCTGGAGTGGTCCAGCCTGGTAAACGCAGCCAAGGCATACGAAGGTAGGTGCCCTCCTCTCAGATTCTCCAGAGCCTCAGCCCTTTCTCTGTTCCAGAAGAATTGATGAGCCTGTAGCGTTGCCTGGAGTACGCACCCAGTTTCCAGAATCAGGGAGAACAGGTAAAGTTCTGCCCTGTCATTGGCTAGCTGTGCAACCCTGGACAAGTGTCTTTATTTCTCTGATCGCAGCTACCTGGTCTACCAAACAGGTAGACCATACGTACTGCCTGGAGCTGCAGTGAGGATTACGTGCAGTACTGAAGCAGTGTACTCAGACAGCGCCTTACATCACTGGTACAATCACTGCTCCAATCGCAGTAATCCAGCTGGGCATAGGGTGCACACCTATAATCCCAGCACTCAGAGGAAGAGCCAGGAGAATCTCAAATTTCAGCCCTTCCTCAAAAAAAAAAAAAACTTCTTAGGTGGGCAGTCGAGCTTAGGTGGGGAGTCTCAGCAGGGCTCAGACTCCAGCCCACTGCTCTGCCTTCTCAGGGGCTCCCCTCATGGTCGCTGCTAGAGCTCTGGTCATTAAGTCCACCTCCAGCTAGTAGGAGAGAGGAGGACCAACGCCTTCCCCTTAAGGACTGGCCCAAAGCCTCACACTCCTTCTATACTTAACTTCCCATTGGCCAGACCTCCCTCCAAGGCCACACCTAGCTGCAGGGCAGGCTGGGGAATGAAGCCAAGTGCCCAGCTAACACTGGCAACTTGTGGGCTGAGGGCGTGACTTAACTAGCGTGCCCAAGACGCGTGGTTCCATCCCCAGCCCCACGAGCACACAGGACATGGGGGAAGTAGCAATGATAGCAATTTCACGACGGGAAACGGCGTACAGCACCTCAGCCGTGGGGCAGGGTAACCATCAGCGTTGCACACATCACGTCATGGGCCCTGTGTGCCTGGGAAGTATACATCACTCCCCCGGTATTACTCCCCAAAACCCATGAAAACCTCAGACCAACCTCCTTTGAGGGGCGTTCTATCAAACCCGACGAGCACACTTCAAAAGCAGTTGTCATAAAATCCAAGGAAAAGCTAAGAAACTGCCACAGAAGGGCTAGACATGGCTCAAGTAGTAAAGCACCTGTCTAGCAAGCACAAGGCCTTGAGTTCAAACCCCAATACCACTGAAAAAAGAAAGATGTCCTGGGTGTGGGCTCAGGAGTGTGGTTCAGTATAGAAACCTTGCCTAGCATGAGCAGTGCCCTGGATTCCATCGCCAGCACCACAGAACAAGAAAACTACAAAAAGAACATGCTGGGGTTGGGAGGGAGGTTTGCAGGGGGAGACGTGGTCAGTCAGTGCACCCGACCCACGAGGACTCGGCTCCCCCTCCTCTTGCTCCTCCGCAGTACAAAGAGCCGTCTCGCTCTTCTCTCTAAACGACCCAGCCCTGAGCCCAGACGTCCCACCTGCCCACAGTCCTGTGCACAGCCACTTGAGCCTGGAGCGGGGGCCCCCGACCCCCAGGACCACCCCTACCATGAGGTGAGTTTCTCTGGGCACACCAAGGTCCCTACAGTGAATGAGAGACCCGGGCTTTTGTGGAGACAACTGCTGCAGGTCACTCTTCCAACTCCCTGAGCAAGAGCTCCCTTCAGCCAATAGACTGTAGTCTTTATGCTGATAACCACCAGCGACCAAGACAGCCTCCACCCTGTCCTCTGGGATAGCTTGGTCAGTAGAGATGACACTTGCCATCCATCTGCAAACAATTGTTTGACTTCCAACTTTGAGAACTGTCGTGGACTGTCCCCTAGTCTCCCAGCTGTGCCTCCCATCTCCTTCTTGGTCTCCTCCTCTGGGGACTGAGGCCAAGCCCTGCCCTCAAGAGGCTTCATGGGAAGGGGGTTGGTCACCTCCCCTTGTCATCTCACACATGGCTCACCACATTGACCACAGCGTGTTTGCTGGCCTGGCAGAAGTAAGATGAGAGGCAGAGAGAGCATAACAGCCGCTCTGCTGTGTGGATGTAACCATGCGCTCACACGGGTCTGCACACCTTACAGTGCACAGTCCCGGCTGTGACAGTTCATGCATGGTGCTTAGTGGCCAGTGGAGGCCTGTTTTGAGGGTCATTTTGACTCTCGTTTTTGGTTTCACGCAGTGGCCTTAGAGCTCAACTTCCACTGAAACTGTGAACCGCAGTAATCACAGAAACAGGCACGACAGTTGATGCTGCTGTGGCCAGGGTGGGAACAGGCTCGGTGTAGGACAGGGCCAGACCTGTAGCCCTTGGGCTCACTTCTGCATTCCCGTTAATCCCAAACTAGTGACCTCTTCCCTTCTGCCTCCCACACCCCTGTGCAGCGCCCCGAGATTGAGGATTGGGGAGGGAGGGACAGGAAGGCCCAGGCGCCTCACTACCTCCTCACCTGTAGAGCCCCCTTCGAATATGGGTCCCCACAGCTTCCTCCTCACATGGGATGCCCCAGGCAGGAGTCCGCATACAGGAGCCTAGGCCTCAGATCCCAGCACCAGCACTGGGGGATGATGTCCACTGCCTCAACCTGGGCTTCCTCTGTTCCTAGGCAACAATGTGGGGCCCTCCCAGGTTTCAGTGAGCTGGGGTCTCTGTTAGGTTGACCACACCAGAGCTGGGTGGCCCAGGGCTAGGTGAAGGGAGAGCTCTCAGTGACAAGCAGGCTGTCATTGTCACTGCCAGTACTGTTGCTAGTCCTATGCACTGGCTCTTATGCCCACTTGTTCACCATGTGCCTCCTGTGCTTGGATCAGTGCCCTCCCTGCAAATGTTCAGTGCATGTTGGTGGAGAGGGTTCTTTGTGTCCCCTGAGCTCAGGGAAGAGGTTCTCTCTAAAGGCACATGCAGCTCATCCACTCAGGGAAGCGCACATGTACCTTCACCAGGCCTGGTGCACCAGGCTGGTTGTTGGAGTTGGCCTAGAAGGGCTACTTCTGGCTTTCCTGCCACACTTCTCCATCACCCCTTGGGATTCCAGAGCCTCAGAGACAAGAGGGCCTGTAACCCATGTCCTTCCCAGCTGTGAGCCAAGAACCCCGCCCAGGGTCTGGCAGGCCTCAGACTTGATTTATCCCCCCTGTGTTTGCAGTGAGGAGCCACCCCTGGATCTGACGGGCAAGGTATACCAACTGGAAGTGATGCTGAAACAGCTGCACACAGACCTCCAGAAGGTAAGGCCACACCTGCACGCACCTCTGCCCAACTTCCCCGGCCCCACCCCACTCCTTCTGTTCCAGATGTAGTCAGGAGCAAAGTGGAAAATGACAATACCAAAGGTTAGCAAGCAAACAGAGACTCAGACAGTCTTGGAGAGAGAATAAGTTGGCCAAGTCTTTTTGGAACAACAGTTGGACAGTGTTTTTTAAAAACACAGTTACATGGCTGGGGACAAGGCTTAAGCAGTAGAGCACTTGCTAAGCAAGCATGAAGATCTAAGTTCAGACCCCAGGACTGCAAAAGAAGAAAGACGTAATGAAGCATCTGGTTGCTCCAGCAGTTCCACCTGTGGGAACTTGTCTGTGAACTTCCAGCATGGTACAAGGGTCCATGAGCAGTGATGTTGATCGCTGCACTGCAAGCGAGAAAAATGGGAGCCAAGCCGGGTGCCAGTGGTTCACGTCTGTAATCCTAGCTACTCGGGAGGCAGAGATCAGGAGGATCACGGTTCAAAGCCAGCCCAGGCACATAGTTCTGTGAGGCCCTATCTGGAAAAACCCTTCACAAAAATAGGGCTGGTAGAGTGGCTCAAGGTGAAGGCCCTGAGTTCAAGCCCTGGTACCAAAAAAATGGAGCCAAATGGCCGTCCATCAGCAGGAGACAATGTGAACTACAGGACACCCATACAGCGGGATGGCCTCCAGCCAATAAAATAGCAAGTTTACTAACATGCAAGAGATGGCCACTAACTTAAGTAAAAACAACAAAGCTGCAGAACTTTCTAGAATATCATCCGGTGTTTTGGGTTTTTTTGAGTCAAGGACTTGCTATGTAACACAAGCTAGTCTTGACCTCTCAATCCTCCTGCCTCAGCCTCCCAAGAGCTGGCATTACAGGTGTGCACTGCCACACCAGGCTTATCATCACACTTAGTAAAAAATGATTTAACATCCATGAGTTAAGAGGGGCAGTTTAAAGGCAACATTCCAAGTGGATCTCCATACTTGTCTCCAGGGAGAAGAATGAGGAGGAAAAATAGCAGAGGAGACTCTTATTTGTTGTTTATTCACTATGGGATAGGATTGGAGGTGTGGCTTAAGTGGTGGAGTGCGTGCTTTGCAAGTAGAAAGCCCTGAGTTCAAACCCCAGTCCCACCAAAACAAAAAAGTGCTGATCTATGTACTTTGGTGTAAAAAGACAAAAAGAATTCAGTGTGTAAGTCCTCAAGCACAGGAATTATAGGGCCCAGGTTCAAACCCCTGCCCCACTGTTTAAAGCTGTGTGACCTCAACAAGTCATTGCCGTGGGGTATCATGTCATTCAGAAAGGCTTCTGAAAGAGGTGGTGATGCCTGCTGGGCAGCCTTGCTGTGTAAGGCTTGGTTTCTTCTTCCAGGAAAAAGGATAACAACCTTCCCCTTGGGTGGCTGTGGGGTGAGAGGAATTGATGGCAATCATGATGTCTGTCAGATGACTCCAAGCCAGGTGCCCACTGGTCATCCTAGCCTTTGGGAGGCTGATGCTGGAGGACTGTGAATTTGAGGCCTACCTGAGCTGCATATGGAGACTGTCAAAAAAAAAAAACCATCAAATCAGCCTATGTTCTGAGATCTTTAAGGTCTTCTAAGATAAGGGACCTGGAGCCCCTCTGAACCACCCATGTCAGAGTTGAGGGACAGGGCCCAGGGTTGCTCAACTGTGGAAGCAGAACTAGGATTTGAACCTGCAGCCAAGGCTTACCAGCCCAGGGAGCCCTTGGTGCTCTCAGCCTTCCCAGGGCAGCTAGGCCACCCCACCTGATGCCGCCCTTCCGCTCTCACAGGAGAAGCAGGACAAGGTGGTGCTGCAGTCCGAAGTGGCCAGCCTACGGCAGAACAACCAGCGGCTGCAAGAGGAGTCCCAGGCCGCCAGCGAGCAGCTGCGCAAGTTCGCTGAGCTCTTCAGCAGGGAGAAGAAGGAGCTCTGAGGCCGGCAGGGCAGCCCTGCACCACCACAGCCGCCCTCCGCTGCAGCGCAGGCTCCTGATTCCTCTCTCCCTTGGGCCAGGACCCTGGCACCCACCGCTCCACGGCCTTCTGTGGGAATTTGAAGCCCCAGCTGGCAGAAGCCAACTCTGCTCCTGTCTCGGGGCCCATGAGCTGCCCTTGGGCCACTGAACCTCTTCCTGGACTCAGCACCCAGCAACTGGAGCTGTGGGAAACTGGGAGGGCCAAGGGGAGCCCACTGCATGAAATACACTGGGCAACCAGAAAAGAACCCTTTCTTCCCCCATGTTCCAGAAAGGTGACAGACTAGAGCTCCTCGGTCCTCAGCGTGCTAGCTCCAAACAGCATGGACAGTGTCACCCCCACACATACACAAAGCAGCCAGGAGCACTTTCGTAGGGTTTAAATTATTTTCTTGGGGTCGCAGGATGAGAGGAGACCCCAGCATCCAGAGTCCACTTTGAGAGAAGGTTTCTCCCAGAGTTTGAGAGAAACTATTTGTACAATCAGGACTGTTTGTACAATCTTTTTCTATCAGCACCTCTCCCGTCAGAGGCCACGACACCTGGGCTTGGGCCACAGGCCCTCCATCTTCTAGCTACTGACCTGGCTGGTCCTCCCACCCTCTCTCCCCAACCCTGACCACCTCCAGGCTCTGAAGGTGCCCAAGGAACCCCGGCCAGGGCTGGGGAAAAGCAGCCTGGGCTCCTGTCTGCTTTCATTTTCCTTTGCAAGTCTCCCCCGCAAGACGCGGTGGCCACCCAGACACTCACTGTGCTCCCTGGGAAGCACACACGGTGCGACCCACCCCCAGAGACACTGCTTCTCTAAAGGCAATAAGGGCAGCTCAGTGTGGTACTACGCTGTTCACCCAGGAAACATGAGTTCCTTTTTTCCTTCTTTAAAGACAAACAAAAAAATCTCTCTATATATATATATTTATTTTTTCATGTAGAGTTGTGCCAGAACAAGTCTGGATGGCCACAGTCTGTGGACTTCCCCCAACCTTAAGCTGAGGATCGAGGTGTGTGTCCTGTGGGGGGGGGCAGTGGGAGGACCCAGAGGGACACAGTTAAGGTGGGTGGCAGGCTTTCCTTTCTGGAAAGACCAGGCAGGGAGGAGTTGCAGTGTGGGTTGGCTCAGAGCCAGACAGGCAGCCTGGACCCCCTCCTCTGTAGACCTGACTTTCTCTTTGGGTCCAGGAGCCTGAGGGGGGAAGGGGCTCTGGGTCAGTATGCCAGGCTGCAGGCAGGGTTAAAGAAGAGGGTACCCATCCTCTCCCCATGATCTGCCTCTGGCCAGGCAGGCCCTGCCATCGCCAGCCCTGGTGGGAGACCAGGCCGTCCTCAGTCCTGGTCAACTACTGTGATGGTCTCCCCCACCCTGTTCTGAAGGGTTCTCCACTCTCCCGCTCACACCCCTTTCCTCAGACCTAACCTGGAGCCTTTTTCTTTCTTTTTTTATTTTTCTTTTCAAAGTGTCTCTTCTCATATCTTCAGATCATTCGAATCATTTTGGGGACCTAACCATGTACATTGACAAGCGTAAATTATGAGTTTTTTTGTTTTATGTTTGTTTTTTCTTTGTTTCTGCAAAACCAATCTATTTAATTTGAGGTTGGTGTTCTATCTGATGGCTGGAGATAGGCTTTTTCATATGTTGATTTGTTTCATTTGGGTTCCCCACGCCCCCCTCCATCCCTGTCTTGAGATTTTCTGGCATGTTTCTGGAGGTTTCAAAGGAAATAAATGTTTCATAGAAATGGCTTGTGTGTTCACTGGCTGGGCAGCTGCCTGGAATCAGCGTGAGCCTCACTCTGTCCCCTTATCCCAAACACCCATCTCAGTCGGTCCCCTCCACACACTTCTCTAAGAACAGGGAACCAACTTTTCTTTGGAACCCAAACAGAAATCCGCCCCTCAGCACGTAAAATGTCTAAGTTAAGATGAGCGAGATTCTCCTGGGTCGAATAACCGCAGGCCTGCAGGGTGTGCTGCCTTGAGGGTGGTCAACTGAGAAAGCCCGAATTGCACTGAAAAAATTACCATTCCTCTGGAGGTGGGCGGAGCCTGCACGTAGGCGCCCGCTCGCTCAGGCCACGCCCCGGCACCGGGTCATTTGCATCTCTGGCCACGCCCACGTGGGAGTTGTCCCTGTTATTCCCCGCCTCTTCTGTGGACAGCTGTGCTGTGGACCTCCCTCTGCCAGACATTCAGGGGTGGCTCCGGGTGGAAGGCAGGCCCTGCCCCCAGGCCAGGGGAGGGCACCAGGGTGCTGTCACACCTCGTGACCTCACCCAGGATCTGGTTCCTCGGAGAGGGGGGCGGGGGGCCCGCAAACGGGAGGGAGCGGAAAACTCGTGGCCCCGGCTCTGCACCTGGCCGGTGCGTGGACGCTTGCAGGTGGCCCGGGCATGGGGTGAACGTTTCCGGCTCTGGGAACGCCACGGACGATCCAAAGGGTGTTCCGTTCGTGGAATGTCTGGACGTGGCCCCGGCCTCTGAACAGGGCTGACCAGAGGTGGGGGTCTTTGCGCCCCTGCCCACTGTTTACCGGTCCTTGCGTTTTCCTTCTCTGAGCTTAAACCTCAGGCTTCTCTGACTCACACCTTCCCCCACCCCTCAAAAAAAAAAAAAAAAAACTTTTTCCAAAAGGCATCCAGAGGAACCCCAGCCATTCCCACGGCTCCTCGACATTCCAGAGCCATCCATTCTCCCTTTCTCCACCCTCCTCGGGGCCCCATCCTCGAGCCCTGCTCTCCCCACACACACCCGGGCCAAGGGGGAGGGAACCTCGGAACAAACTGTTCTCACATCCTCTCCTGGCGCCGGAGACACACCAGCGACTTCCAACACCCCACAACTCACCCTCGCGCCAGCCCCTGATCGCGCCCGGCCGTCCCTTCCCCATCTTGCCCCAGTTTTCCCCGCCAGGCTCAGGCCCTCCCCCACCTCTCACTCGGCTCCCATCCCACTTACTGCCTCCAGATTTTTCTGTTGGTCCCTAAATTTCCTCCCCCAAAAGCCCAAGTCCTCCTCCTCATCTCTGTGTCATTTGCCTCTAGACTGCCTGTCCCTGGATCTTCACCATCTTCCCCACACGGGCCTCCCTTATCCCTTTTCCTCCCTCCTGACTGGTTTCCAGGTGCTCTGCCTCCCCAGTCCGCGGCTCTCTCTCATCCTGCTCCCTTTTCCCTAACTCTGCCTCTCTCTCTTAACCACTGTGGACTTCCTCCTCCTCTGTCTGTCCCCAGCCTGGCTGCACCTTTTTTTATTACTGTTATTTTCTCTCTCCCACTAATCCCCATCTCTGTGCCCTTCGTCTTCCCTGGCTCTCTGCCCCAGGAATTCATGTGGCTCTTTTGCTGTGGCTCTCGCCTGCTCTGCCCTTTTCTGATTCTGTCAGTAAATTTGTGACTTTCGTAGTCTTTCTCCTGATCTGTGCCCTGGTTCTCCCTCACCGACCCCTCCCCCCACACACACACACCCAAATCTCAGTCTGTCTAAAGTCTGTGTCACGTATTTCCTCCTGCCCTGCTCTGCCATCTTTCTCTCCTTCCCCTTTCCCTGACACTCCTGCCATATCCAGGTGAGGCTTGGCCTTGGGGTGCCACCTCCAGACACCCACCCCTCCCCACCATAGCCAGGGAGGGGCTATGTCTATCTCTTCATCCCTCCCTTCCCCCCAGTCCTCACTGCTACCTCCCTTAGTCTCCCACTGCAGCTGCAGAAGTCCGTTGCCCGGGCAACCACAGCTGGCTGGGCGGGAGCCCCCTCCACCCCATCCCCCTCTTCTTTCCGGCAAGGCTGGGAGGAGCTGGGACAAAGCCAGAGGGAGGTGGGGTGTAGGGGCCAGAAGGAGGTAGCCAAGGTGGGGGCCACCCAATGTCATCTCCCCAAGGAGGCCCCAGCTCCCCTTCTTGGTGATGCCCCAAACCAGGCTGGCAGTCATGGGCAGAGGGGTCAGGCCCAGTTTAATACACAGAACAAGTTAATTCACAGCAGAGGCAGGCAATAAAGGAGACTCGATTACAAGGGGGTGGGTGCAATGCGGGATGGGGGAGATCCCCCAGACCTTCACCTTCCCCACTTGCAGTCTCAATTTCCCTTTTTTTAAAACCCGAACAACAAACACACACAACCACAAGAAACAACCACACCCCCTCGCTACCCCTAAAATGGCCAGCGAAGGGGAGCAGGGGGCAGCCCGGCCTGGCCGGGTGGGAAGAGGGCCGGGAAGGAGGAAAACGGAGTCCATTGCAGAGTCTGTGCTTCTCACTCCAGCGGGCGCTGGCAGGGGCCCACCTGGCCCCACCGGCCTCCCTGGCCACCCGCCTGCCTGGCAGGCACCGGGTGGGCACAGGGCAGGGCTGTCAGGGAGGGGCAGGAAGAGTTCAAAACCATGGTTCACATCATGCAGTATCCACGTGGGCACCAGGAGGGGGCAAGGGGTGGACACCATGCCCACTGGCCCTGGGCAGGAGGGGGAATGGTACCCACCTCAGGCAGGGAGGTGGGACAGCTGCAACTCCAAAAATGGGGTGGGGGGAGGGGTGCCAGGCAGGAAGCTGGCAGAGATGGGTGCCCAGCAGACGCTCAGCAGTGCCCCATCCACCCAGCCAGGCCTTATAGGATTCTTTGTATATATTAATTTCTTTTTTTTTTTTTTAACTTTTTGTCTTTTTCTTTAGAAAAAGGCTCTGTCCATGCCCCCGGCTGGCATCCACTACCCCCCCGTGCCCGCCCAGAGGCGGGGTATGGCTTTGAGGGGAGCAGAAGCCCCTGGTGCCCATTTGCCAAGGGATGGGAAGGGGAGGAAGGGCGGGAGGAAGAGGGCCGTGCTGGACCCTCCCGCCCGCAGGGCCAACATTCCACTTGCAGAGGGGAGGAAGCCCAACCCGCTCTGGGCTTCACCTTCTCTCTCTGCTGGAGACCAGGGTGAGAGAGAGGAGCTTTGAGAGGCAGGAGGGCAAGCACCGCCCGGAGGTCCAGGTCCGGGAGAAGCAGAACCAGGCCTAGGTGAGGGTGATGTAGGCAGAGGCCTTTTCTTTCAAGTGCCGAAGACAGAGGTGACAACTCCAGCTCCCTGAGGATGGAATTAGGCCTAAGTCCAATAAAGGCAGCCCCCACCCTTTCCCACCCAGAGCTCATGGTCTCTGCCACCAGGAAGTCAACTCTCCAACACCCCCCCACACACAGAGCCCACCTCATTTCTCACCTTCTGGGGGCTCCGCCATGGGGGGACTCAGGCAGTACATGTGGTAACCCCGATCGCAGTCGTCACAGAACAGCAGCTGGTCCTGGGGGGTGAGACCCGCCCAGCTGGCACCCTGGGGGCATGGGCACCAGAAACCGGGGTGGGGGGCTGGGGCAGGGGTTAGGTCCGAGGGGCTGGGGAGTGGTCACGTTCGAGAGTAGACTTTGAGCAGGCCTGTATCATGGACTCTGCCTGGCCAAGCACACAGCCCTGCGGACAGTCCAGGGCAATGTAACATTAAGTAGCCCTGGAGCAATGGATGTAGTCTGAATACTGGCTCTCCCACTTCGCCAGCAAGGTGACCTCAGGCAGGTCATTCTCCCCCTCTGAGCTCCTGCCTTCTCCGGAAAGTGCGAAGGATAGAAAGTGATAGACTCAATTACTGGACACTAAGAATAACGGGACCGTGTCACTGCTGGCCCCAGGACTCCCAGTGGGGCCAGTGAGGAGGGAGGCAGAGCGGCACTCACGTCATTCTCCGAGGTGCCACACAGGCTGCAGGACTTGCACTCGATGCACTGCCAGCGGTAGGTGCGCACGGCGGCCGTCATGTTCACCGTGAACTGTAAACATGAGGGGTGTCCTGGGGGCCAAGGGGCAGGGACACAGTTAGGGAGGTATCCTCCCCTGGGACAGAAGCAGCTTGGACCCAACCCTGCACACGACACCCAGCAGCTGCGCTGCAGGCAGCAGTGGTACCTTGGCCACCAGTCTCTTACCCAGGCGCCATGGCAACCACACTCTACTCCCCAGAATACCATGGCAACCGCATTCCATTAACCACAGTGCTGTGGCAACCACGTTCTACCACCCACAACACCGCGGCAACCACAGTCTGTTGACCACCGTGCTGAGCCGACCGCATTCCGTTACCCACAGCAGAATGGCTGACCGAGCCTGCTAACCACTGAACACGGTAACCACCTTCTCCCAGCCACGAGGCCTGGCAACCACGTTCCACAACACGGTCCCCACACCTTGCTTCCAGGCGGCCAAGCCATTCCACACGATGCCCCAGCAACCAGACTATTACTAGCAATACTCACAATGTTGATCTGTTAGTCACTCCACTGCCCCAGTGCAAAGACACCTGCAGCCATCGCCTATAGTGCCCAACACCCAACACCCACAGCCACTACCCCAGTACCTGCCAGCCACTGCCCATGGTACCTGCCATCCATGCGACCACATTCAGGGCCTGACATCCATCGCTCCAGTGCCTGACACCTGCAGCCACAACCCACAGAACCTGATCCCAATTTCCACTGCCCATGGTATCTGACACCCACAACCACTGTCCCAGTGCCCTAACAACTACATTCCACATCAAATTGCTACAACCACCATATCTCACCACCCATGCTACTGTGATAACCACAATTCACTACCCACCGTGCCAAAGCAACCCGTCCATCATCTGAGTCCACCACGTGAAACATTCCACTCAGCTCTCCAGCAAGCGCAATGTCACACAGGACCCATTACTCTGTGCCTCAGTTCCCTACCCACAATGCCTTTGCAACCTTCTCACTGCTCTCCATGCCAAGATAAGCATGTCACTATACACAATGCCATGACAATGACAACCCACCACTCCCAGAGCCCCATGGAGCCCACTCAGTTTCCCACAGTTCTCCCCTGAGTCATGGGGCCTCTCACTCTCCAGGTCCTCTCCACCCCAGACCCAGGGTCACCTGATCGCCCACAGTCTGCACAAGAGATGAGGTCCTCGGGACACCCTGTCTTCTTGGAGCCACCCAGGCAGAAGTCACAGTAGCCATTGGGGATGACAGTGCCATCAGGTGCCTTCTTGGCTGAAAGACAGCAGGTGGGGGTCAACTCAGGGCAGGCAGAGTCACCCAGTCAAAGGCTGCTGCGGAGTCAGGAGTGGAGGGAGGCGTCCCTACCTGTGTGTTTCCTTTGTGCCTCGGGGACCCAGGCCAATTCTTTGTAAAACTCTGGGGGTGGGGGACAAAGAGAGGGGCTCTCACCATAGGCAAGGTTCCACCTGCCCCCAGCTTCAGCCCAGGGGTGGGCCCTTGGTGCATGCATGGGAGAGGTGGGAGAGAGAAGCTACCCCAAGCTATGGCTGGTAGCAAAAAGGAGCTGGGGTGGGAAGCAAATAATTCTCACCAGAACACACCAATGAGAATTGTCTTGGGACAAGTGACACATCCTCTTTATTGGGAAAAAACTTGGTAAATAAACACAAGCTTAGGCAGAGCCCTGCCTCCCGCATCCTTGAATGTCTACCAGGCAGCTGCCCTGAGCAAAGCCCTGTCTAGATGACATTTGCCAGGAACCTCTGGCCAGGACAGAGGTGCCAGGGTGTGCAGCAGGTCAGACCTGAGGTCGCTGCCCTGTCCCTCCAAGAAATGGGTAGGAGACAGTTCCCCTCCCCCACCATTCAGCTGTCATGGCATGGGATGAGCATGGGTGGTACCAAAGGCTCCCTGGGCACCAATCCTGCCCCTTGACCAAAACATAGCAGAAAAGGGAGAAAGGGAGGCCCAAGAAGGGAGGGGAGTCATCTATCACCCCCTCCCCAAGCTCTAATTGAAACAATAAATCAGACCCAGAAATATTACGCCCGGCCGGGAGCAAGGGAGAGATGGTTGGTTGCCATGGCAACCCCAGAGCCAGCATCCCCATGGTCGGTGGGGGAGGGAACGACTGAGCTGGAGATTTTCCAGAAATGTCTAATGTGCCCCCACCTCCTTCCCAGCCTCTACCAGGCTCCTGAGCCCCACACCCCTGGGCCCCTCGCCACCCAGACCTGGCCCTTGGGCTCACGTTTGTGGTTGTTTTTCCGGTGGAAGGGCAGGGCGTGGCGCTCGGCATGCTCCTCCCCCTCCTCCTCAGCCAGGTGGGTGTGGGTGTAGTGGTAGCTGAGCCCAGGCCGGTTCTTATACCGCTTCCCACAGACTGGAGGGCGAGTGAGCAGGTGGCTGTCAGCCTCCCCAGCAGCTGCCTCCACCCTGGCCTCCAAGATCACACCACCCCCCTCTGCCCAAGACCTGAGACCCTCCCACCACACACACACCCTGGTCAGGACAGGAGGGAGGGCCTGGAGGGGAGAGGTCTCTGAGTCCCACTCTCTCTCTCTCTTTCCCCCTCTGCAGAAGGACTCACTATCACAGACATACGGCTTGTCTCGGTCCTCCAGGGAAGCGGTGTCCTGGCGTTTCCGGAGACCCCCGATGCCATACGCCTGGGAAGAGAACAGTCAGGAATGAGGGACCCAGAAAACCAAGTTGTCATCATTTGGACTTGAATTTTTTTTTTTGAGACAGGGTCTCACTATGTAGCCCAGGCTGGCTTCGAAGTTCCCTGTCTCAGCCTCCCAAGTACTGGGATTACAGACATAAGCCACCACACCTGGCTTCATCATTTGGACTTGAAAGTTCAATTGCAAAAAAACAAAACGTGGTTTTTTCAGGCAATAGAGCACTTGTCAAGCATGCATAAAGCCCTGGGCTCCCTCCCTAGCATGGCAGAATAATAATAATAACAATAATAATAATAAAAAAGTATAATAATGAAATCTCCACCAAGCAACTGTGTACACTTCCTAGCTGTGGAACCTGGAACCTCTCTGAGCACAGCTATAAAAATAGTTCTAACCTACATCAGTGTCTGTTTTACAAATGGCTTAATCCACAGGAGCCTGGGTTTCCTAGTCTGTAAAATGGGTATAAACTGCTCACGCCTTCCGACAGTTCTAGGGATTAAATGAGGTCAGTCTTGTGGCAGAGTGTGACCATTAAGCATGCTCAGCAAACAGGGCTCTGTCCCTCAGAGGAGGGGTGACCACTTTGGGGCAATACCTTTCCTTTGGCCCTATTCTTCCTCCTGGGAATGTCATCCTCCAAGTCTTCCACCTCGAGATCATGCGGAAACTCCAGCAATTGCTGTTTCTGGGCCCCAGGAGAAGGGAGATTGGGGGTCAAGAAGGTGGGGGCACTGATCTGCTGCAGGCTGGGGGTAGGAGGGCAAGTCAGGGAGTCTTCCAAGGAGAGGAGGTCTGGGACGATGGAAATTTGGGGCGCCCGAAGGCCCTGGGGAGCTGGGGAGGTTTCAGAACAAGGACATGAAGTGGCAGCAGGCAGCAGGGGTGAGGGGGACTGGCAGCCGGGTGGGGCAGGGGTCCTACCTGACAGTCCATAATGGCCTCCTCCTCTTTCAGCTCCACCTTCTTCTCCCCAGTCTCAGCACACAGCAGAGCCTCCAGGACCGGCCCTTCAGGGAGGCCACCTTCCTTCTTCAGGGGTGCCTCACAGTCTGGGGACAAGCCATGAGGGTGGGAGTCAGGGAGTACGTTGTCCACAAACTGCCCAGGTTGGGGGACCACAGTCTTTGTGGGAGTGAAAAAGGTTTTCCACACTTGGCCAGCAACCAAAGCAAGGTTTCCACCACACACCCTAGGAAGGATGCCCAGAGCCCGGGGGAAACAAAGCCACACCCTCACATCTACTCGGACATATTCGGGAGGAGGCATGACCAGAACAGTGGATACACCCAGCAACTCTGTGGAACAACACCAGAATCACGATAAACACCTACATCCACATTGGGCGGGGGTAGGGAGGACCCTGGCCAGACCCTAAGATACACCCAGATAAACAGTGCTGGATATGGACACTCAAACAGGACACACATGAAGATGTAGACAGATCATTCTGCCACAGTTAGACACAGAACCAGACCCTTGGATACACCTGGATGCATGGGGGAGACACATACAGGTTCTTGGATCTATCCAGAGACACTGCGAACGAGATTGTTAGACCCACAGATATACCTAGACTCATGTGGGGAAGACACGGCTAGGCTCAACAATACACCCAGACACACCCAGACACCCCCAGGGATGGATACACAAACATACATGGAGGCAGTCAGACACACACAGGAAGAGACTCCAATACTCCTGGATGTGCATATACATTCAAGAAACCTTAAGTCTGCTCACTCTATGGATCAGCATGCATGTGCAGAAATACACCTAACACACACACAAATGGGAAGAGACTCTCCCAGACACTGAAGCATCTGGACCCTCACAGGAAGAGACAGCCAGCCTCCCTGATGTACCAAGAACCCCCTCCAAGACAGTTGGATAGCTGATGGACTGACCAGACATACACAAAAAGAAATACACCAGGGAACACCTGGACAGAAACACTCTGATACACCTGTCTACAGGTGACAAGCGTTAACAACCAGACACTCTAACATCCAAACACACAGACGCCCTCAAGTACCCATGGAAAGAAATACAGTCAGACACAGATGAATCCCAGTTCACTGGAGAGGAGATGGAAAGAGACCTCATACACTTAGACGTGCCTAACAGGCACCACTGTGTGTCCCACACACCTGGGTACCTGAGACCATGTAGGAGACACAGCCAGAAGCTCCCTGGCTCAGACAAAGCTGTGAAATCTCTGGAATGTGCCCAAGACAGCCAGAGGCAGACAAGCTGCCATGAGACACTCAAGAGGAAGGCCACACTCAGACACTAATTAGCAGGGCAGGGCACTGATGGTCCATAGCAGGACAGGACACAGCTCCCGGGACACCCACCGATCTTGTACTCGCAGGGCCGGAGTCTGGGATCCTCTAGGATGTTGAGTCTCCTCTTCTTCCTCCAACAGCGGGCGGGGTATGTGTAGATCTGTCCTGGGGCCAAACCTGGAGGAGAGGGAGAAGAGCAGTCAGTCTGCGGCGGGGAAGGCGGCCCGCCCCACCTCGCCCTCCCGGCGGGTACCCGGCCCTCGGTGGGTCTTCTCCATCCAGATGTAGCAGTTGTTCTGTGCCACGCCGGTCTGCGAGTCGAGGAAAGGCAGGCGCAGGCTGCGCTCAGCGCACAGGCGCGCGTTGTAGCTGCGGCAGTGCTCGATGGCCTCGCGGTAGAAGTCCTCGCCTAGGCTACGGGGTGGGCGAGCAGCGGGCGGGCAGCTGTCAGCAAGGGCGCCAGCTGGGAGGCCCTGCAACCTCCTCCTCTACCAGGATGGATGGGCGCCTCCCCCTCCCCCGCAAACCCAACCTCACCTCTTCCCTCCCCTCCAGCCCCTTCTGGACCCTGGGCGGATGGGGGAGGGTACCCCACCTGGGACTGGGAAGTGGATATTCACGCAGACAAAAAAAAAAAACACCCTGGGACACCTCTATATTCGCACTTATCCAAACACACAACACAAACAAATCACACATGGTCACACGGAATTCACACACAAAGAGACATACCCCAATACTCACAAAGAGAAAAAGACAAATCTCACACACGTGCACACACAAATATCTCCTGAAAAACACAAATATCCTAAGTTACATAGTGTAGCCCATACAAATATCTATGCACAAATATACAGCACATCCAAAAACACACAACATAAACAAATGACCCACAACATGGAAAGAGATCACAACACACACACGCATCCAAAGATACACACAGTTACCCAAATGTCAAAAGACAAGGATTGTGGAAACAAATTACTCACATATGCACTTATAAATGTATCCAAACACACAACACAAACCACATACACAATCTCTGGACACACATACAAAGAAATCACACAAATTCACACAGGTACACACATACACACATTCATAAAGAGACAAAACATACAAACCAAAACCTAAAATACATATCCAAACACACACAAATACACACCTGTAAAACATAGGAACCAGTCAGATCCACCCATAGTCACACAAAAATGTACACGCAAACCTACATAACACAAGACAAATGGTGCATAGTTCCAGAGGACATGTGGACCGAAATATCCAAAGATATGTAGTATAGAATAAAAGAAATCATATACATATCCACACACACACCCAAAAGCAAAAAGCAGAACACAAATAAGTCACACACATACACCCCACGTCCCAAGACAAAGGTAGTACAGACTCCACTCGAGTTTTTACCAAGGCTTCCCGCACTCCCGGGCCATCTCCCAAACCCAGGGGTCGCGGGGCGGGGACATTGACCCCCCCTCCCCAAAAAGGCCCCTGAGTTGCCCATGCCCTCCGTCCCTCCAGAGCAGCGCGTCGGACACCATTCTTGCCAAGAGCCACACTCGCACCCCCGCGCAGCCCCGCACTCGGTGACAGCCCCCCTAACACCCCAGCGGCCCCACCCCCGGCCGCCACACACACACACACGCCCTCGCGGCCCCGCCCGCGCCTCCCCCGCCTCGCACCGGCCCGCACCACCTCAGGGGGCCGGGGATGACCGTGGCCATCTTGCTCCCCGGGTCCTGCCCCCAGCAGGTCCCCGCCGGGTCGGTCCTCCCAGCGGTCGGGCGGGCGCTGAGGCCGCCCATCCATTCATTCCCGGGGGGCGGGAGCACGCGGGCCGCAGCCAATCAGAGCGGCGGGGCGGGTCGCCCGGGCCATGCCGGGAGTGGTAGTCCCAGGCTGACGGCGGACCCGGGGGATGTTCCGCTCGCTCCCGGGTGCATCCTCGGACCACGTGCACACACGCACACACATATACACACACACATACACAAACACGCCGGGCTTCGCACACTCTCGCACATGGCAGTGTACACATGGTCGCCCTATACTCAGCCTCCCACTCAAACACCGCGCGCACATAGCTACACCGCAAACACTACTACCAAGACACCAGACACCATACAGATGCGCACCCACACTGCTCACTAACGATCCGGCTTCACTGACAGCACCCTTCTCCCCCCCGCCCCACGCTCCCAACGCCAGAGACCACGACCCTGTCCCAGAGCTGTCTCTCAGTCACCCGCTCTGCTCAGCTCCTTCCACAGGCCTGACAGTATCACTGGTGAGACACTAACCACAAACACCTTCTGGGTTCTAATCCTAGCTCTGTCATCTGTTGATATGGGACCATGGACAAATGACCTAACCTTTCCGGGCCTCAGTTTTCTTATCTTTGAAATAAGGATGGTGCCTCATTGGATTGTTGCAAGGATTAAACTACAGAACAGCGTACTGTAGCTCATGCTTGTAATCCTAGCTACTCAAGTGACAGAGATCAGGAGGATCACGGTTCAAGGCCAGCCTAGGCAAAAAGTTAGCAAGACCCCATTTCAATTAATAAAAGCTGGCATAGGGGGTGACTACCTGTCATTCCAGCTACATCAGAAGCATAAATAGGAGGATCCCAGTCCAGGCATAAAAGAGACCCTTTTTGAAAATAATTAAGTCAAGCCAGACACTGGTGGCTCACACTTGTAATCCTTGCTAATGGAGAGGCTGAGATAGGGAGAATCATGGTTCAAAGCCATTCCAGGCAGGGAGTTCATAAGACCCCATTTCAATCAAGAGGTGGGCATGCTAGTACATGTCTGTCATCCCTAGCTATGGGAGAGGGTATGATCCAGAAGATCAGGGTTCCAGGCCAGCCCAGACAAAAGCAAAAGCCTAGCTCCAAAATAACCAGAGCAAGTGTGAAGCTCTGAGTTCAAACCCAAGTACCACAAAAATAAATAAATAAATAAAGAGAGCAAAAAGGGCTGGAGGCATGGCTCAAGTGGTACAGCACCTGCCTCATCAGTACAAGGCCCTGAGTTCAAATCCCAGAACTGCCAAATCCAGGTAAAGTGTTTTAAAGGGTACCTGGCAGGAACTGGGGAGTGCAGCTAAGTAGTAAACCAAGAATTCAAGAGGCTCTGGGTTCAATCCCCAGCCCCAAATAACTAAGTAAATAGTACCTGACAGATAGTAAGTGCTCAATAAATTCATTTATTCCACAGAGTGGATCTATACAAACAGTACCTGATAGGTACTAAGATATAGTGATATCATTATTTTTTTTAAATGCCTGCTTACAGTAGATGCCAAATAAATGTTTGTGGAATGAATACTGAGCACCATGTGCTTGGCACAGTTATCTCCAGAGTGAAACTATGATCCCATTTTCCAGGTGAGGAATGTGAGGAAAAGAAGTGACCTCCTTTTCTCTCCATCATTCATACAGACTTTAATCCCCAGAGAATAGGCAGACCTACTGAGTCTCTCTCTCTCTCTCTCTCACACACACACACACACACCCTTAAGTCAGTGCTCTGACTTAAGCGGCTGCTGAATTTCACACATCCACAAATACAGCCTTGTCCACCAGGGGGCGCTCCAGCAGACAGACCAGCTATGCTTATCCTTTTGAGAGAACCACTTCAGGCATCCCACATTCATTGTCACTTCTACACACACAACCTCTAGACTTAGACCCCTTCCACGCCTGAACCATCTAACCCATCGAAGGTCTTGGTCTGTCACTCCCCTAAGGTGGGTGTTGAATTCCCTTCCAGCCCGGAGTGGTGACACTCTGCTCTCCACCTTACCTACCATAAGTCCTGCCCCCAGACAACAGGGCTTAGCTGGGAGGGTCCCTTTGCCACCCTCCTCTCACCTCCACCACCCTTCAGATCCACAATGCACCCTCCTCCACTTGTTCCCCCACCTCCGCTCAGACCCTCTGACTCAATCCTGATGGATCCTGGAACCTCTTGGCAATTCCATCAAGCTGAGCCTAAGTGTAGGCATTCCATCACCTCCCCAGAACAGACTGCCACTCCCTTTCCTTGCCCCCTCACCTTCACAGGTCCCTCTCCTATGAACTTGACCTCTCCCTGCCCAGATGACCCTCCTGCTCCCTCCATGCCCTGTGTGCTGGCATAGAAGAAATCACTACTGATTAATCAATATTTACAGTACCATTAATAGTTACTATTTTTGCTCAGGATCAGGCTCTGCAAAGTGTTTTACAAAGCCTCACTATGGACCCATGAGGTAATAAGAACTGTAATTCTCCCCAGTGCACAGATGGTAATACTGAGGCTCAAAGGGGAGAATTAATGGCTCAAGACAAGCTGTGGCAGGCAAAATTCCTTTGGGTTTTGGCTCCACACTCCTATCCCCAAGGGGATTTGACCCTGGCATTCTTTAAGAGTAGGTGAGTCCCCACCTTCACCCTTGTGGACCCCTTGGACAGTGAGGCAAGGAGAGGCACTGACCCTCTGAGGAACTCACTAGCTGACCAGGCTCCTGCAGGGGACATGCCACACCTCCAAGAGGTCTGGGCAGGGTCACACTGAGAGCCTGGTTGCCTGTGGACACATTAACTTGCACAGGATTCCTGATCCCCTAGGCTTGAGGGTATCCCCCACAGGAGAGATGTCTGTGTGTATGACTTCAGGTGACAGGGAATCAGAAGAGAAATCATGGTCACCCACTTTCTCACACTGATACAGGCCCCAGACACTAGCTCCCTGCCCTCTGCTCACAAAAAGGCCAGGAGTGTAGGCGCTTGCCTGCAAGTCCTCGCCCCCTACCCTACTCTCCCAACTCCCACCCCCTCCCACCCCTTAAAATCAGAAGCGACTGGGGTCCTTTGGCTCAAACACAGTCTTTCTCATGGGTGGATGGGTGGGTGGGTGGTGGAGGGGCGCCCTCTCCCGGCCCCCCGACCATCCCCAGCACTTGATGCTCAAGGTCAAGGCTGCTAGCGCACAGAGTGGGGGGAAAGGGGGAGGTCGCCCTGGCCTCTTTGTGCGGCGCTGAGGGCGCTTGCCCTCCTCCGCCTCCTCCCGGGAGGAAGGAGGGGGAGGGGACTGCCATGCTTGCCTGCCGGGAGAGAGGGCGGGAGCGGCTGTGCGCCTGTCACTCGGAGCCCGCTGTCACCGCCAGGGAAACGGGGGTGGGGAGCGCTGGGACCAGGGAGTCCGGGGTCCCAAAGAGGGAGCGAGGGAGGAACATGGAGAGGGGTGGCAAGGAGAGAGGAGGGTCGGGAGAGGCTAGCCTCGAACCCAGGCGTCCCGGTTCCCAGCTACCGGGCCAGGAGTCAGCCAGCATTCGGAGGCGAATCGCGGACGGGGAGCTAGGGAGGGAATCCCTGGAGACTGAGGGCGCTCCCGGCACCCCCTCCCGAGGACTGGTCCCCAAGGGATAGGAGGTGCTCCCGTTAAATGTGTATGGGCGGAGACAGAGAGGGACGCCACGGTCCGAGCTGACCGAGGCGTCAGGTCTTCTAGGTCCTGGAGACCCAGGGAGGAAAAAGGGGAGACAGCCAAAAGGGTTCAGCAGGGGACCCCGAGGTCTCCGCTCCCACCCTGCGGCTGCGCGAGCCGGGGTCCTCAGAGAAAGAAGGGGAAAAGAGGGACAGGAGCTTTGATGAGGGCAAAGAGGATGATGGAAACCCTGGAGACCAAGGTCCGGACTTGGGTGTTGTTGCCTTCTGCCCCCGTCGGGAGGCCCGCACCCCCAAATCACTAAGGAGCAGAGATGGAGGAGGAGAGGGAAGCCCCTACCCCCACTCTGGGTGGGGAAACAGCCTCCGCCACCCCCTAGCCCGCGCCACATTCCTTCACTGACAGCGACAAAGAAGAGGCGCCCCCGCGACCATGGAAAGGCTCCCTTTTCTAACCCCAGGGGACGACAGGAGGTGGCCGGCCCCCGGGGGGCGTGGGGGCGCACGGGAGACCCCCCACTCAACTACCAGCCGCACTCTGCGTCCCCCTCTCCAGCCCCAGGGAGGGCGGGGGAAGGGCTCCTGGAGGAGGGGGTCTGGACGGGGGGCGGGGACGGCGGGGACACTCACGACTTGAGCGGGTTCTGAATGGCGGTAGCCATGGCCCGCTCGGCTGGGCCGCCTCCGGCCCGGGGCGCCGCTGCCGCCGCGCGCGGGCCCAGCCCGGCCTGCGCCGCCCGCTCTGCCGCCCAGCGCGCTACGATTTCATTCATTCTTGGGGCTGCGGCGCGAGCTGAGCGGGGCGGGCCGGGGGCGGGGCTCAGCCAATCCCCGCGCCTCCCGGCGCACGACGGGACGTGGAGTCTAGGGGCGCGCGGCGGCGCCCGAGGGCGCCCCTGCCGGGACTACACGTCCCAGGGGGCGTCGGGAGGACCGCGAGCCCATTGGCTGCCGGGGATACAGGGCTGGGCTGGGCTCCCCCAGAGCATCTTTCCCTGTCTCCCCGAGGGTGCTCCATTCCCAGCTGGGGCGTTCTCCACCCTTCCAGCACCGGGGGCGTGGGAGCAGGTGGTCCCAGCTTCTGGGTCTCCCCAGGGTATGTGGATGACCCCAGGGTCTGTGTGTATTCTTGTCTCTGCCTGCTTGTCTGGTTGTCTCTGACGTGTAAGGCAGCCCTCGAACAAGCACAGGGGTTAATCAATGCCTTTGTTCACTTATTGAGTGCCTGCGATGTGCCAGGCACTCTTCTTGACTCTAGGTATATAGCAATGACCAAGACAAAGTCACTGCTCTCACAAAGTTGATATTCTAAGCCAGGAATGGTGGCACATGCCTATGAATCTCAGCACTCAGGAGACAGAGACAGGAGGACCAAAAGTTCATGGCCAGCCT